CGTTCATCATGTTTTTGTCATGGTCTCTTCAACAGGACACGGTAGCGGAAAACCACATGAAAATTTGAAATGGTGGTTGACTAATTTTTCCAATGCAAAGGTTGCAAGGAGGCCTGACCAAGAAAATTGAGTTGCTGAAATCCCCACACTGTTCTGTGACTACTTAAACTCCAGAACTCTGGTACAACCCAATTAGCATAAGTCTGAATATTAAAAGTGCCTGCTGAATGGAAAATAATTTACTTTCATTCACAAGTATCATAATCATGCAATATTTAATTCATTACAGTAAGTCTTTTTGATCGTAAATTGGCCTATCGATTGCCTATTTTATACACAGTATAAAAAAAAAGCTAAAATAAAAATGCTAGGCGTTCAAAAAAGCTCAAATAAAAATTATAGGTGTTCAAACAACATCATTATTATTAGAGTTTAGCTCTCTAGTACGGGAACTTTGTGTGTGTTCTTGTAATGGAATATATTTTTTAACTCAAGTCACTTGGGTCGCACTGTTATATATTGCCTCCGTTCAGACAGATCTGTGGCTACCTGCAAATCATAGGCTCAGTTGCCTCGAAACAAAATGAACAAAGCTTCAGTGGTTCCCAAGTCAGCTATGTTTTCCTGAAATGAGCGGGTAGGAAAATTGCCTGAGCCTTAGCTGTAAACATGAAAGTGAGACATAAATCTTGTGTAAAATATTTGTCAGTTATCTTCTGCTAGAAAACTCCACTTGATACAAATGCCTCAGCACGCCAGACTCCAATACTGTCAGGCTAATTTATTCTTTCGGTTATATATTCCATTTCTGACATAGTGAGCCCATAGCAGTCTTGAGTGAGAAATCTCTTCTGTCGGCATCAAGCTGCAATCAACAAACCTACACGGGCCACTGACTAAATAATTTATGCCCGTTTCAAAATGACAAAATGAGCAGACAAAGAAAGGTTAAAAGGTCCATGCACTGTTCAGTCATAAAAGGACATCGATAATAGAACCAAGGTAGACAAGTGAAACTGACAGTGATTTAAAGGGCATCTGAGGTCAGCACAGAGCTGGTGACACTTGAAATGTGACAGGAGAAATAAACATCCCTCTGTATCCATCCCTCTGCCTGATTAATTCACCATTCCAATGTACAGAACTGTTACAAGGATCTCTCTCTTCCCTAATTATTATAAGTACGTCCATTTATTTACATCGAAATCTTTGTAACATAAATGTCTTTACTGTCACTTTCGATCAACCTATTGTGTCCTCGCTAAACAAAAGTATTAATTGAATGATAGTGTATATCTTTCATTATATTATATATTTAGCAACATTTCTCAGAAGAAAATGTAAATGCACTGACAGCTAGGCTTGCACATGCCAGAGATGAGGAATAGCATGGGAAAAGATACAATACTGACTGGTTGATGACTTTCATCTGGGCTTATATTGGAAGTACAGCTTTCCATTCTAATTGTTGTTTTGGGGGGGAATTGGCAGATACGTGTCTGCAGAGGCATACAAACAAAATCCACATATCTCGCTAGATAAAGCTGCCCTGGGAACCGTCATAAGAAACAAGATCCAAAGAATATTACGTTTATATATTAGAATAAAGCCTTGAAGGTTGCCAGAGAAGTCAAATGCACAGAACAACTCTAATACACAACTGCCCCAACAGAATTGTTGATAAGCGTGTCAGATTCTCACTTATTTTTCTGCACTTATTTGAAAGGGTCAGTGGATGTCAGCGACACAGACTAACCTGGAGGCATTTTGTCTCATTATATTACATCAGAAACAAATAATAACCTCCATACAGTCAATACGCTTGATTTTAAAGCATTTTCTCTGCCAAGAATCAGAAAAAAATAAGAGTAAAAGACAACCTACTGGTAGTGGACATTAGTGTTGAGGAAAGTTACTTTTAAAAGTAATGCGTTACACTACTTTTGTATTATTTTTTCCTCACCAGGTCTGGGCTTACTCGTTTGTTTTTTTATTTTAAAAAAGTTCTATTCTTCGCAAATGTAAAGGCTCTTTCACACCAAAAGTGAAATGAATAAGCCTCAGGCTGAAGGAAATGCAAATTCACACCTGTACAGTAGAGGGTGCAGCTAAACAAATAAAATAAAATAAATAAAAATAAATAATTTATATATAAACTTTCAGCTGTGCTGTCATTCTGGATTGGAGAAGCATAAGATGCAGGAGGAGACAGTTAAACACTCTTACTTCAATAAAAACTAAAAAATTAAACACAAATGTGATGTTCATCTAAATTCATTTTTGTTTAGTATGGTTGATCTGGACCATCGAAGATCAGCAGCAAAGACATTGGTTAAAGAGATTAAATACAAAGTATATTTGTGTTATTTACATATTTATTTCTTGCAGGTGTTTGCATTTCAATGTTTTTATTCATTTTGAGGAATACTGAATCTGTTTTTGTGGCAGTGAGTTAAGTAAATGCATGCAGGTGTCAGTCAGTAAATTGGAAAACAAAGTAACTTGCGTTAGCTATTTGAAAAAAGTAACTATAATCACACATTGTAATGATGTTCATCCCTTGGGGCTTCGCATGCTCTCCTTAATAGGTAAATTCATCAAATTCAGTCCTGTCTCGCTGCGCATCCAGGTTAATTGTGTCTGTTTACACATGCATGCGCTCTATTCTCATCTTAAACCAGAACAAAACTCAGATGAGATGAGTACCAAGACACAACATCCACTACAACAGTATACAAAAGAGCACAGTCAGCCATCACGACATGGGTCACAGCGAGAGAGAAGGACTGTGGACTCATTTTCTTCCAGAAGAGAGACTTCCATGCCATCACTCTAGACTGGGTGTTTGTTTGTTTCTATACAGAAGAATGACAATCACTATGAACTCATGCTCATGCCCTAGGGACACTGGACATTTCTTCCATGTGCCTAGAGCATATTGTGAGCCATCTGGTGCCCGTCTCATATCCCTGTGAGGTAGTAAGCGACCAGAGGAACAGCAAGCTATCAATCAAACAGACAATGAAATCATCTCATTGCAGGTCAGTGGTCTCCATCCAATATAAGTTCCACACCGATCCGACTGACAGCTGTAGTCAAAACTAGACATTTTTTCTTCTTGTACACCACACCCACATCTTAAGTGCCCCATGTCATAACAGGAAGTACTAAGATCCGCTGATGTACATTAAAGAACTGTACAGCCTAAAAAAAAAGCCTTTTTATTCATAAACATTGGAGTCCAAAACTGGTCTGTTATCATCAACATATTACCTGTAATGCTATTTATTAAATGTATAGAGAACACTGCAAAACTTGGTTTGACTTCCAGTACAAATATCTAAAAATGTTCTCACTTGTTTTTAAATTGTTTATACTTAAAACAAGTGCATACACTCATTACATGTATTCTCAACATTCTCAGAAAATAAGTCTTAATATCTTATGGTTTGCTGCTCTTCAAGTAAACTTGTCTTGTTTCAAGGAATTTTTAAATTTTAACTGTAATCTCATTAAGTGTAATAATATCAGTGGTGTACTTCTCAGTGCCATGGATTCTTCACAAAAACATTTTATTTAGATATACTCAACAAAGGGTATCCAAAGAGTGATTAGTATCAAATTTGTTTGCGTCTCATTAGCTTAATCTAAAGGTGCACACTCCACCACAATGTTTCTCTAGCAATTTGGCAATGACTCCAATCTCACTGCTGTTGGGCTCAATATCTCTGCGCCAACTTGAGCTGATTATCTCCACTCAGATAGAAACAAATCATTTGGCATCAAATACGCTTCACTTGGTTTTCCATAAAAGACTTAGTTGTAAGAGGTCCATGCCTAACCGGTCAAGCAGAAAGATGTCACAAAGCAAGTACAGTAAATAAGAACAGTTTCTTCAGAAAAAAAGGGTTGTTATAAAGTTATTATGGGCTTTATGACTTGATAGAGATGTTTGGGAATGCTAGCACTATGAAATTCATCACTCCCTGACAGTTATTTTCTCCTCCGAGATCAGAATTCGTCTTAAACGCCACATGATCCAATACGGCAAACTGGCATGCAAATGTAAGTCTTTTTCTCTTATGAAACGTTTATAACTTTAAAGGTAGGCCATTTTTTTTACAAACACTTTGATATACTGGTTGAAACTCTCTTCACATCCTGATAGTAATCAATAATGAAGTGGTCTAAATTTATATATATATATATATATATATATATATTTTACATATATTTTCTGTGGAAGTCTCAGGACCAAAACATTTTCACCCAATCATTGCATTCAGTCCGAATGCATGTCATTACCGTAATTACGAGACGTTCAATTATATGAATTGGCAGTAAGTAAGAGCTCTGAAATTCATTTACGTTCATTATTATTGTAATGTTATGTGCTTTGAGACATAAGATAATTTAACGTCGCCTCACGTCTGACGCTTTGCAGAATCTGCTGTGTGCGTTAATGTGTTTTGAAGGAGGCACGGCTTTGGGAGCATTCTGAAGGGAGGGTGGGATCTTATGCTTTCAAAGCTTGCTCGCTATTGCTAGCCTCTCCGAAATTGCCCATCACAGCTTTAAATGTAGGAGCAGAGGTTTACCAAAATAGCCATAGTTGGGATAAGAAATGCACAGCCATTAATTCTTTGCATTATAAAGGAACATTTCATGTTTTCTATATGCTTCCAAGCAGACACTTTCACATAGATCAGGCAACTTCTATTTATTAAAAGTGACCAAAGGGTCAGGGAGGGAATGAAATATTCTATACACAGAGAAGCTGAATAAATATCAAGGGATAACAATGCAGCAGCAAACAGACAAATAAACTCATTCAAATTCAAATCCAGTACTAAGCAATATTCATGACTCTGTGTCTGCCTTGCCCTCATTGTATATATATGCTGACCGAATTTTTTACGCTTTCAAGCATTAACTTGCTGACAAGACTTTAAAGATGGCAAATCCAAAGCATATCAAATTTAAAGGCAAAGCAGCAGTACCTTCCTGTAAGCAATCATGTTGGGTGAGTCGTCATCTGGGTCAGCCACGCCCACTGCACCTTGGTCCTGAGAGGCCTGAGCCATTCTTGGTCTCTTGATCTCTCTTTCTGTCTCTGTGGGGAAAGGACAGAACAGAAGACAGATCAGTCATACAGAATTCCAGTGTGCCACCCAGACAATTAATTAAATATCTACAGTTGTTAGTGTAAAAGTGAGCTAAAGCACAGGCAAATATTCTCAATGAAAATGTCTTCAATTTCAGTATGTTTCTCACAATACTTTCGAAGACTTGGAATAAAACAAATAAAGCCATCGACTAATGTATGATGCTTTTTATCTCTTTTGGAGCTTCATTGGTTCATATTCACTTTCATAGTGTGAAAAAACAACAACATTTGGACATGCATAACTCATAAAAAATGTGTTCCACTAAGGAAAGAAAGTCACGCATCAGGGTTTATTGTTGTCAGGGGTCTCAAATCTTGTTCACTTTCATGCATTCAATTCGAACATGTTGATGATACAGAACCAATGACATTCTTGCAGAGTTTCTTGTTCTCCTCCTTATGTGTTGTACTTGTACAGTATGTGTCAGATTTCAATGGGAGGGGGAATTTTCAATAAACTATGACTTAAATTTCAGACTATTAGTCGCACAAAGTTCAGATGGCTTCAGAAAATTCAGAATATAGCAGACAATTCATGTGAACCTCCTTTTTTTGACCTTATATTTAATGTAAGAGCAGTCACGGCCTTTTGTATCTCAAATGTGCGCGGCTTCCGGTATCGTTCACTTCCAGTTATTATAGCTGTACAAGTACAGTGTGCTATGGTGTTTGATAGGCTATGATAGTCACAAGGGCTGTGCCAAGTGTGCAACCACACAGGGCCTCGCGCCAAAATAAAGTGACAGCTGAATTGATGACGTAAAGCCAATAGGCTAGTTTAAGTTCATGTTTTTGTCCTGCGAAAGACTATAATGGCTAAAAGTCAGAGCTAAGAGTGAGACTGTGTACCATGATGCTGTATTATTCTGCTACTTATCAGAAAATGGAAAAAAAAATCACTATTTTTTAAATAATTAAACGCTGTGATGTCGAAGTGGATATCATGGCTTTATATATGGACAGACACTTACCAAAATCAAGTGAGTTACAAGGTTTTTGACCATAGAACGGCCGCATCTGAGGCAGTAAGTGTATCGCATTACGTTACAGATTATAAAGTTTATGTGGGCGCTCAGTTTTTTCTGTCATTTGGCCAAAAGCTCATGTTATCAAAAGACAGAAGTGCGACCCACAGACTATATAAGACTATTTAGTACTTGCTATGACTCCACGGCAAATAATAAACTTTACATTTATTAATAACCTTAACATATAGTGTTTATTCAGTAAAGAAAACGCTGTTCAAACAACAAGTCCTTTATTTATCCTTTCATTGCAAACAAGCAGAGACGGTCTAAAGGTACGCTGCACTTCTTTCAAGCATGAGTTAGGTTTAGTTACAAGTTGTTTTTAATAGGTTTCATTGGCTAAATATTTGCAAAAATAGTAAAGGGTTTCCAAAAATTTTTTTAAAAATTGAGCATGTGACTGTGATTCTTACGCATTCATCGTGTCAGTGAGCACGGTATCATGAATATCGTAGAGAATCAGTGATTAAATTAAATTATAATTTTGGCCACCTCTGACATGGGTCAAGGCATATTAGGCCTACCTGAAAAGTTCAAGTAACTAGCTAGAAATCTGTGTTCTTTCAAGGACGTGCATTTATTGCATGGAGAAAGAACAATGTAGGCCTAGCTATGTCTGAAATCGGTTCGGTTGAAAGTTTATCCACGGTTTATCTGTTGATCAGATGCACGTGAAAGTTGCGTTCATTACTATAACTCATTATAAAAGTTTATTATTATTGTTATTTATTATTATATCAGTTGTAGTGTGTTTCAATAACTCAATAAATAAATAAGACATTTGTTCTGGATACCGAAATTGTACTTAGGAAATTGTTTGGTCTCTAATTACCTTAAATCAGTAGGTTCACTAAGTGTCATATTATCATATGAAATGAATTTTAGCGTCTAATCGGTTGCACAGAAAGGGATTTATCGACCACTCATAATTGGAGTCCGCAGAGAAGACAATAGATCAGTTTTCAGTTTCAGATAATGGAGCAGGTATGACATACACATATTTATCTACAGCCTATGTTCCTGTCAAGAGCAATAATAAAGCAATAGCCTAGCATTTTAGTACTGCTATAATACAGGAATAAGCGTATTTTTAAAGCTGCAACCGTGGAGCGTTAAACGGACAAAAGAGAAGGTTTGAGTAACGCAATTTTAGAATATTCTTACTTTACATAATCAAATACAACCAACCACAGATAGCCTAAAACTGCACAGAAACCCAAACGCCGCTAAAAAGCAACACGAAAACCTTACTGGAAAACGTAATATAACAAAAAAATTAAACCCTAGGCCTACGGCCTATTTTAAGATGCCAAGCACAGAACATCATTTGCATCTTAAAAACTGTGGGAAAAGGTCTTTGTTACTAAAAAAAATGACAGACTGAAAGGATAAGAGGCTCCATGCTTTTCGTCGTCTTCGTCACAGACTGTAGCCTACTTCACTTCACTGCTGTGTGTCACCTGCACGAGTGTGTGTGCTAGAAAAGAAATACTCAAGGGTCTCCTAAAATGACCATTGGACTTATTAGTAACCCTGAATAGATTATGCTTTTCCACACTAGCCACATGATGAGCGCGAGCTTTAGGTTGATCACACAACAGCGAACCTAAAGGTAGAACTGTGGGCATGATTTCCCAGCGCCGCATTGCACTACAAACATGTGCAGCGATTTAAAAAAAGACAAACAGCTGCTTTCAGAGCGCAATTCCCCACTGGAACCCCGTCCCAATTCACATAGCACTCCACAGAGCGATGCCGAATATAGAGGCAGAAAACCCTGTCACTGAAAGACACGCTCGCACTCACTCCCGCGCGCGCACATACACACACACACACACACACACACACACACACAAGCGCGCACAGCAGGGAGCGCGAGGCGACAGGATGATTCACTTCAAACTCACCAGCACTTCGGGAGCCACTTGAATCCAGCGCTGGACATGACAATTGATCGTTCAGTGTTAGCGAACATTGGCACAAGTTTACAGTGACAGTCAGTCACACACACACACACACACACACACACACACACACACACACACACACAACTGATGACTGGAAGAGCGCATTACCTTAGTAGTCTAAGTACCGCCTCGTCCACTCCTCGGAGCTCGATTTCCCCTCCTTAGCAACCAGAAAAGAGCAGGTTCATGATCTAACTGGCTTGAAGAGACTGATGATGGTGGGGTGTTGGTGGGGGGAAGATGATGAAGAGAGAGACTCTAAGGAGCTGTGCAGCTGTGGAAAGCACTGGGTTCCTTCCACTCTGTCCGTGTCTCGCGCGCACTGGATCCCAGCGTGGGTGGTCGCTGCGTGGAGTGAAGTGCTCAGGTACAGTGTGAGGATCCTGGCATGTGTGCAAACTCAGTGTGAGAGTGTGTGTGTCAGAGGCAAGGAGGGAATGAGGGGAGGGAGGAGAACAGAGGGTGGGGGTTTGGGGGTGGAGTGTCTCCCTCTGTAGTTTCTGGCAAGCAATTCTGAAATATGTATGTTTATTAAGTGAGAGAATGCTTTTTGTAGGCATATCAATTGAGTAATCCCCTCTTATTTCTGCATTTCTCTCATTAGGACATCTTGCTAAAAATTAAGAGGATTAGGGTTTAAGAATAAATGATAATAAGCTCCAGCAGTTTATCAATTTATTCTTAAACCCTAATCCAGTAAGAAGGAACAGTAGTACAGGGGTCATTTTTGTCTTTATAACATTCCAAGTTGACCGTGTAACTTTTTGTGCCGAAAACAAGACCGTTATAATAAAATGGTCCCTTCACACATGAAATGAGCGACAAGAGTTGTTCACTGTGCTCTGGTGCTCACACACACACACACACACACACAAGCTGTGAGCAGCGAGTTTTGCGTTTGTGTTCAAACTCCCCCATTCTTCAAGAACAACCTCTGTGCAAAGCCTGCAACATGTGACATTTCACATAAAAGGTGCCGCTCAAACAGTGTCAGATTGAAATGATCAAGGATCCTTCAAAAGGACGTGCAGGTGCTAAACAGCCTAAATAACCTGGTTTGACATACCTTATCACATATTTCTTTAGTTGTTTAGAAATAATAGGATTATGATACCTGAAGAGATCGAGCTAACAGATCATTCTCGAGCCGCAGGAAAACAACGTCATGCAACACTGATTGGGTGTCACGCACAGTCTCAAGCCCATCACTAGCCCTGTCCTAACATCAAAGGAAGATGATTAAGAAAATATATTCATTTCATGCTTTTAAAGGAAAAAATATCTGGTATTATATAATGAAATATTAGTGTTTTTTTTTTTTTTTTTATCAGACTACACAACTAATTTTGAATGGCCAAGATGTCTTTCAGAGCTTCACAAGAACTGGAATCTCTTCTATCCCATATATACACACGGAACGGCACACATATCCTCTCACACCCAAACCACCCTTCTCTTTTTTTCCTACTGGCTCTTAATCGGCCTTCTGGCACAACAGAGACGATACATACCCACAGGGAATCCTGATAGAGTTCTGGGAGTCGGTCTTTATACTTTTTGTTATGTTTTCTTCTAGTTCTGACAAAATATGATGCAACAAGGAATGATTTATAGAAAGTGCACCTTGTAACTTCACAGAGTAGGTTGCCGGTACACAAATTCTCGGTGTCTCTGAGAAAACTGATAAAAAACATCAGATGCTGCTGCTCAAGAACATTGCGTTTCCAGTCTGCATATTTCTAGCTAGGGCCATCGTTATCAATTAACCCTTGACCAAATAGCAAGTACTCTACTTTGCAGAGAACAGCCAGGAAAGGGCTATTTATCAGTGCCAGGAAGTGTCCTTTATCGCACAGTACCCTAGCCAGCCCCTTCCAGAGCCCTATTGGTGTTAACACAGCTCCTACACTATTTTTGGGGCTCTCTGTTCTTCATTGTTTTAGTCAGATGTATAAAAGTGTCATGGCTGAGTACAACAGCATTTACACACAATACTTTGAGGCTAGAAATATTGGTCGTTTTCAAGTTATAGTACAAGAAACTTACCCTACTGTGATTCAAAATACAGATAATTTGATACAAACATGCATTAGCACATGCTCAAATGCTCTCTCTAAAAAATCAATACCGTCAGAAGCCATTAGGGAGGAGTAATTGCTCATCATGTCTGAATCACAAATGTATTCAGCCAACCACTCACTCAAAGAGGCATGTGTACACACATATACAGTCATAATGGACATTGGCGCATAGCGACATCAGCACAAATTGACAGTATCAGGAACCCACCCACTCCAGGCTAGATTCATTATTTAGACTAGTGAGAGATGGAAGAAATGCACAGAGGTGTTTCCCTATCTCCAGTAGCCTAATTGCATTGCACACACAATCATCTTACTAAATTAGCTGCTTTTCCATTTCATGCAGACAAGAAATTATCTTCTGTTGAGCTACAGGATGAATATCTGTTGCAAATGCAAGTGTTTTCTCCTTGCACTGAACTAGAGACATTATTATTATTATTATTATACTTTACTGTCCCATTCCTGGGAAATTTGTCTTGGACAGCATGACACGGCCAGTGCACAACATCAATCATTTCTATCTTGAAAGTAATGTTTCAGTGTGCATTAGTAAGAGTGTTGTGCAGTGCATGTATGTTCTTTCTTACCAGAGACCTGAAAGAAAGGGCACATGTTGCATAAATGCCAATTATTAGAGCAGGTAGCTAAGAATAGAAGTCAAGTGTCAAAGTGTGTTACTTTAGTCACTGTGACTAAAGTAAGCAGGACTCTAGTAAGGCTGTTCACACCAAGGACGGTAACAAAGCATCCTGCGTGGACAGGTGTTGAAAATTAGCATGTTTGCTAAAACCCCCAAGCAAAGGCATATGGTTCGTCCAATGTAATTGTGATGTCCATGTCAAATAAAATTTTTATAAAAATGATAACGATAAAGATATATTTAATATATTCTAAAAATCATGCACATGAGACTGTTTTAATATAATGTTTTTGCATGAACTTCTAAATCTAATGTTTTTACTCCAATTCGTTGTTGAAAAATAATAATTTCACAGCAGCTGTGTATTTTCATGACAGATATTTTAAACATAGCCTACATTAAATAATCAAGACATCACTAACAAGTTAAGTCAAATGAATATAGGCTAATATAGTGCAAACATTAGCGAAAGAGTTCATTTCTCGAGCTGACTAACAAGCTGTGGACACTGACTAACGTTACCTGAGATGGGCTATTGTTTACCAGCTGTTTTACTGATGTCTTTCCGCCGTTGAAACACCGCGATTACACGAGATATAATACGTTTCAGTAAGTTGTACTGTATCTTTCAACATATCTTCAGATGTTCTTTCAACATACCTTCAGATGTTCATTCATCATGTTTATTAGGAAGAGATGATCGCGTTCACTCGCGCTCGCTGCTGCTTAAAGGTGCATTGCGCAACTTTTCATGTTATAAATACCTGTTTTCTATCCTATACATGCTTAAAGAACTGCCTGATGGGCTGAATGAGCCCTTCTCTGCGCACTGAGATTGCCTCTATAATCCTGTACAGTAAAATATATAAGAGGGATTCGGGCTCGAATTTGAGACTGGGCGTGATGTCATGCGCGTTCACGCTCACCAGGCTGTCTCGCAAGTTTGTGTATTCGCCGGAGCCGCCATTCTCCGCATCAGCGAAGACAACTCGTGCGTCAAAGGTAGAAGATGGATTCAAAGAGACCGGCTTGTAGTCCATTCCAAACCCCAACGCAAATTCCACGTAAAGTAAAGAAAAGACAAATTTTGTCTAGTGCCACCAAAAGGTCCAAATTGGAGTCAGACAGGCGTCGGAGTAAGACGAGAGTCAACCTCGGGAAGGCATTCAACAAATGGAGAGATCTCCGGTCTGCTCTTGGTCTCAAACGGGATCCTCAGTTGGCTTTTTTATTGATAAAACGGTAAGATATAGCCCAGTCTCTAATGTTTGATACGGCCAATCTATGTATGACAACAAATGACGATGCGTAAAATGTAGTTTAGTGATTAGCAAAACAGTTCAAGATTCTTGAGTGTGATATAACATGCTGAAAAATATGACCGATAATTAGACGAAAATTTTGAGTAAATTATAACAGAAAAAGGATGTATTGTTATTGGAATATTCTACTTAGCAGATCAATAAAACAGGCTGAACCCCGCAAGTCTTCGGCGGATTAGCCTGTTTGGCTTTTATGAAAACGTCATGGTGACATTTGATTGTCTATTACCTTGAGACATTTCAGTGTACGTTGTTGACCAACCGTGTATGGTATGATTATTATTTTGAGCTTTTGCGAAGTAATCAATTATATTGTTCATGAACGTGTTTTCATAAAAATACAATCATAGGTGGATACAGTAAACACAAACAAAGTTTTCTACTACCCCCGTTTTCCCCTCACACATAAGAGTAATTTACTCAAATGTATTTCCTTCCATATATTTGAAATGACTTGCAGATTTATAACTTGATTACCTCTGAAGACATTTTGGCTGTACACCAAAGATCTGTGCGGCAGATGCTCCTTTAGTTATGAACAGCTCGTGCTCGTGCATGCGTGCGTGTGCGTGTGGTCCATGAGCGTGCACAACTCTGGTTGCAGTTTCGCTTGTCGCCAGAGGGGGCGTAGTTCTGCAAAAACTCAGAGACTTGCGTTTTGCACCTTTAAGTTTAAACTGAAGCGCCTATGGTGGTCACGCCACATAAAAGAGCATCAAAAAACGGCATTTATTGTTTGAATTTCGTGATAAAATTTACATAATTTGAAAATTGACTGTTTCTTATCGAAAGTAAATGTCATTTAATTTTTAAGAGAATTCGCATGACGAATACGTGAGAGTATCACGATACGTAGCCTACAGTGGGTGTATCGCGAGATAGATAGATAGATAGATAGATAGATAGATAGATAGATAGATAGATAGATAGATAGATAGATAGATAGATAGATAGATAGATAGATAGATAGAAAATTATTAGCCCCCTATGAAATATTTCATTATTTTTAAAATAATTTTCAAGGTGCTGTTTAACAGAGCGAATGTTTTTCAACACAGCATTTCTAAACAGTTTATTTAGGAAACTTGGAGTGTTTATAATACAAATAGAAACAAAACCAAGAATAAAAATCTACAGGTCAAAATTATTAACCCCCTCCTTGTTTGTAGTTCTCAAGTTTCAGGCATGTCTACTGACAAGTCCCAGCCCATTTCTCCTTAGCAAATCTCTCAGCTCCTCTAGATTTGTTGGTCTCCTGGCATGGACTCTGGTCCATGCCAGTGTGCCCCACAGATTTTCTATTGGATTTAAGTCTGGGCTTTGTGCAGGCCAGTCAAGGATGTTCACTTTGCTCATTTGTAGGTAGTTCTTCAACAGAAGTCATGCTTTG